AATCGGCGTCTGCAGATGTATGGCGGAGTTGTGGGGAAGAAAGCTCTTATCCCTGCAGACGATATTCCATTGGTAAGGAAATATTGAAGAATTATTTAGAACACTATCGTGGAGCCATTCTTACCAATTTTTTTGAAGTTTTTTGCAGGAGCTCAGCTATTTGATGAAGAAAATCGATGAGTTACACTTTTTTCCCACTACAAATCACGCGTTGATTAACGAAGCAAGTTTTTTCACCTTTCCCTCACCTAATTCAAGTACATCTTTCATCGTTTTTTAGTATAAACCCGGCCAAGGAATCATGCCACATACAGATGGGCCGGCTTTCTACCATGTTGTTTCAAATGTGACCATGGGTTCTCATGCACTTCTGGACTTTTATAGGCCAATCAATCCTGAGGTGAGCGCCATCAGACAAGCAGCTGTTTTCAAAGTATGCAAACTTCCATGCTTGTTTCATTCGGAAATACAGAATCCGGCTTCAAAACCATTTTTTAAGAATTGCACAGGTACTTTGGTACCAAGCTTCTTGGATGAAGATCTGAGCAAATATCAATATTTTTCACTTTAGACAACAAAAATAATCATAAGTCAGGGTAAACGTCATTACTAGACGCGGTCTTCTTGATTTTCCTTTTGGGAACGATGGAGTGTACCATTCCCTTTGTGAGCCGAGTTGGTGTCGGTGCTTCGGCGATGTTTTGATACCTTGTGACCTTTTCGGTACTTCCATGGCATCAAAAGTTGCACAAATGATCTACACAAATGAAGAATTCTAAAATGTGAACTTCTTGGATCTGATCGTGAGTAAAATTAATTCTCACTTACTTGGCATAAACGGTAAAGATCCAAGGAATCGCCTTCGGTTCTCGTTCTTCCCTAAAAAATATAATTTCTACGTTTTGATCGACGTTTTGTACCCACTTACTCTTTTACTTTGACATGTGCTCTCTTCTCATGCCAGCGATATCTCAAACTCGAAAAGTGTGGCATCATCTTCACTTCAGTAACTGTACTGGGCAATCTACAAGCAAAAATTGTCCCATTTTCCCGGCTCATTCTTTTCTTGGAGCGTATAGTGCAAAATCATAAATGTGCAGCGCAATAACAAAAAGTTTACTGTAAAGAATGTTTTCCGTTTCTTTTATGCTAGGGCGCGTTCTTTTGACCTTCAATATAAAAGTTATTACTTTAAATACGTCGTCAGTTTGTAGAAATATTAGTGGCGCTGATCATTTTTCTGTACGCGGGAGGAAGAGGTAAACTTCCCTACCTTGTACCACAAATGGACCCCCTCGGTCGGTTAACACGAAGTTTTGATGATTCTTCTGAGTAGAGAGGTTGTTGAGCATCGTCCAAAAAGGGATCAGGACGCAATTCAGGAGGACGATTATATCCTTGGTCAACCATCATCATACCCATCTAAATTCTCCAAAGCTTGTTGTTTTCAAATAGAGGATACGATACTTCAAGAATTGAACAATGACGAAGCTTTGTATCTACCACATAAAAGCCTTAAACCATCTTGTTGTTCCCATCACGAACTTTCAATCTCACTGTCGGTCAGCAAATTACAGGATACGGAACAATATTCTTCTTTTCTTTCATAATTGCCACTTTTTGGTA